CATTCTCAGACAGATATAAACTAATTGCTGCAACCATCAACTAATCAGCAGGTCCTGCGAAACTAGTCCTGATTAAGCAGCCCTGGAAAAAAAAGTCGAAATGGTGGAGAAAACTGGTGTTGGAATGCCTCAGTACCATCTTTTACCCTAGACAGTGAAGGAGCTGATTTATTGCAAACTTAGGTGTCTGACGACCAAGCCTGCAGCAGCATTTTGGGTGAGAATACAACACAGCAACGTATCTGTTAGAGAAAATGCAGTCTATCATATAATAGAGAGTTTGAACATGTTCCACAGTTGGTTGGTTTTTCTTTCAAAGCTTGCTTAAACTTTGAAACTTACATCCATCCATGAGCCAGAAAATTCCTCTTCATAAGAGATACCCATCTGCTACAGTTTGATGCAGAGTGCAACACAAAGTGTGTCATATCACTGATCATGTAACAGATTTATTGTACTATTTGAAGACAATTATGAAACATGAGGACAGAAATAATTAAGCGTTCTCAGTTGTCAAATGCGATGGCCACAGCTTCACAATTTGAACTCACAAGTACGATACATATTGGTAGAAGTAATCATGTGAAAACTTATATGTAGATATTTTACAGAATTTAAAGTAATTTTCATTAATTTTTTCGTGATGCAACTGCAATCTAAGCAAATCTAATACTACAGTTTCATTTCTTTTTGTATGGGTTTTAGAGTACAATCAGAGTCGAATTAATTATTATATTATTTAAAGTATCTATTAAACATTTTGAACATATATTACATTAATTAATTCTTATTCTCAAAGTGTGAAATCTAGTTAGTTAATGCATAATAAATAAATAAAAACTTTAAAAATTATATATAATGTATATATTATAGTTTAAAAAATAATTTAAATTTAAATTGAAAAATATATCATTTAAATTTTTAGAAAGTAATAAAATATAAATAAATTAATTGAACATATATTACATTAATAAAAAAGAAAAAAAAAAGATAGAATTTTACTGTGTAAAGTGGATATGTAAATTTCAATTTTGATATCAATATTAAGTTTAACTTTCTCAATTTTCAAATATTTATTTAAACTTATGATTTGTACAGTAATTACTAGTGGTAAAGGAAATTACTTGTCTCATACCACTTAGTACCTTTTCTTTGTATTTATTAAATTTATTCTATTTATTTCTGCTTGAAAACTTTGAAAGATATATATATATATATATATATATATATATATACATATATTACTTTAAATTTTAGTTTTATAAAATATCAAAAAATATTATTGTATAAATAATTAGATTTTACACAAAAAATTGTTGTAAATGTTTGTGACTTGGAGCATGATTTAAATAAAAAAAATTTAAGAAACTATAATCAAAACTTCTTCATAAATCTTTAGATGTTTTTTTGATTTTTTTGTAATTGCACTTTATATGTAACTGCACTTATATTGATATATTTTTTGGTAGACAATTCTACATAGGTATATATAAATGTGAATAAATCATTTACACCTCAAACTTTTGGGAACATTAAATACTCTAAAAAATATTTTACAGCCCTTAGTGAGCAACCCTAAACCCTAAACCATTTGAATGTTTTGGTTATGGATTGTAAAGTTGAATATATACCATCTACTACAACAACAACAAACAAACAAACAAGCAAAATAACAATAAACACATACTATCATACTGCAAAAATCAGTCCTAAATGAACAAAATCAAAATTAAATACAAGAAACCAACCTCAAAACATTTGAACTGATCTGTAAAAATGCAACTCACTGATCTAGTTTTGCAATAAAACTGATATCAATAATCCTTCAAAAGGATCAATAGAGTTCAAAACAGCTGTGATCCTCAAACAGAGGATTCCGATCAAATTATTAAAATGGTATTGGACTATGAAGAGGCATCAGAACAATTATGGTGGAAGAAGGCTAGTATATATGTGTGTGTGTGTACATATATATATATATATAGAAACATATTATTTTAAGACGTACACATATACCCACCTGGGCAACGCAACTCCTGTTTTAGCCATGAAATGATGTATATGGTTGTCCAATTGCAGATACAAGTCATTTCAGGCCTTCCATCAATCCTGGTCCAGTACTAGCACCACAATCCTGCACAAAATAGAACCCCGGCCTTGTACTTCGTGCAGATCAAGTGCCGAAGTGACTTCAAGGATGGACACTGACCCTGAATTATCCAGTTTGTTTGCCAATACCGACAAGCATACGTTGTTTTTGTCATCAATCAGTAATGTGTGCAGTTTGTCGCTCAAATCAACAACAATAACCAAGCTCTGAAAGAACAAACAAGTTGGCACCTTTTCTAACCTGCCGTGTAACTTGCAGTCGTCCTTACATAAACACCTAACGAAGTCTCCACTGTAACACAAAAATTTAACTGACCAAAGCGTCGAGAAGAGAGTACATCCACAACGGATTGTTTCCCCAACCACCGATTGTAGATCCCAGACTGTTAAGTTGACACTGCCTAAACTGAATGGTGTCAACGTTGTAGCCAGTTGTCAGTGTGGTCACTACCTCATGTCCTTGTTGCAGCTGGTAAAGAATTGTTCTGGGTTTAAGTTTTAAAACTTGGAAATTCTACCCAAAATATTATCAATTCAGGTATGCCATGGCGGTGGCACTAATACTTGCTTCACAATGATCAGACCAGAACACCAACAACGTTAAAGTTGTGAGGAAGAACATCAGAGAGAGAGAGAAAGCACAATTCGACCATACAACTTCTCTTGGACGTTCACGGAGCGGACTTAAAAACTGTTGGGCACACAACAAGTGCACCGTTTTGGCGTTTCAGTGGAAGTTCCCATTTTTATTTATATGACTGGTTGTTTGAGTTCAGGCAATCCTCCACCATCTGTAACTCAGGTGCTTGTAAATATCCTTTTTGGTATGGTTGTCTATTGATGTTTGATATATAAGACTTATTTATCTTATTTGTTGTGTTTAGATGCTTTTAAGATGAAAGTTATTTTGATGGGAAACTGAAATGCCTTTTATGTAATTTAGTGCTTATAATATATAATTGACTATGTGATGATTATTATTTGATTAGGTGATAAAGGTTACAAGCTCATACTTAACGAGTAATATCTTTTAGTAGAAAGTCATGGCTGCTGAAAAGTAGCTATTTTACAAATGAGGAACAAAGAGACATTTAGAGAGTTTTTCTAGAAGTATGATGCAATTAAATTTGGATTGAAATGTCTCTTTGTTTTTTATGTGAAAGATAGCTTATATTGATAATGTATTCAAATCTAAATTTGGGATTTTGATTGTAAAAATAAAGGATTTATATTTACTTATAAATTATCTTTTAATGGTGTTCTAAGGCATTATACTTATTTAATTTGGTGTTACTATCTTTATAAAAGTTCAAGATAATCAAAAAAATTATGAGAGATTTACCAATGTAATTGGTAATTTATGTTTTTAAGGCTATAGATTAGAATAACATTTATTATACAATTGTAAGGACTTGAATGATATTGAAGGTGGAGAGTTGGAGACTTTGGAACTTTCAAATGATATCAAAAGTTTAAATATAACAATCTTGTGAACAAAATTGGTTATAGAAAGGTTTCTAAGTCTTAAGGGATTTGGATCTCAAGTATAACAAGATTAGTAGTTGGTTTGGTTAACAAACAAGTAGTTATAAAAGTAGACATTTTAGCTTGTTTGAACCATCTTAATCTCATGAAGCTTTTTTTTTCTTTTTCTTTTTCTTTTTTTGTTGCAAAGAAGAATAGAAACAAAACAAATAAGTTATAATAGAGAGTATGAAAAGATACTTATATTTGCTTTTTAGGATAATATGTAAGGTTGCTTCATGAATGTGTTATTTATATGACATGCAAATTGCAAATTATAATCTTAAGTTTTATAATTTGATTATCAACTTTGTAAATAGAGATAATAAAAGTAATATTTTTTAATATGTTTATATCATATTAATTAGTTTTAGCATATTATAGATTGATGTTGAAATAAATCCAAAAATCAATAAATAATTATGTTTATATTACTACATAGTATATAACTCTTAATATATTGCATGGTTGAAAAAGATCATAATAACATATTTCATAGCTAAATAAATATATATATATATTTATATATAAGTATATATAGATTTTAATTAATTTGAAGTTTTTTCTTTCTTTTTAGATAACTATCTAATAACAAAGTTTGTTGCTTTTGATTTTTTTAACTTTTTATTATTATTTTTTTAGAATATTCTTTGAAGAATTTAACCATAAAGATTCTTTTATACCAATTTATAATAGTGAATAGCACAAGATATTAAATATCTATATTTATAGTAGTGTGCAATTGTATTTTTTTAAACAAATTTAAGACATGAAAATCATTAAAACTAGGTGTGTTGTATGATAAACTAAAATTTTGAGAAAAAAAATATTACCAAATAAAATTCCATATCTTTAATCACATAATTAAATTCTAATCTTATTAAGAAAAAAATTAAAAACTATATGTATATATTGTTATTCAAAAAACATCCTTACAATGTTTCAAATGGCTTAAATGTTTTTTGACAAATAATATTCACTAAAGATTTTCATAAATATACATCTAAAGTTAAAGAATAATTTTTGAAAGATAAAATTATAGATTTTCATTAAAGAAGGCATTTAGTTTTTTATTTCATAATTATATTTTTAAAACCATTCAAATTAAAAATATATTTTTAAAAATAATAATAATAATAATTCAAAAAAAAGTCATTTAAAAAAATATAGTAACTCAAAACATAAAATTTTATATATATATATATATATATATATATATATATAAACTTTCATTATTTTATAAATGAGTTATTTTTAATGAATAAATAGAACAAAGATTTACACAAAAAATCTTCAAATTATAATGTAAAATTATTAGCCAAATTTTTTGATCAATTGGAAATCACAAACTTTGGTCAAAGCTTCATCTCTTAGTTGGAACAAATTGTAGTCTTAAGCACATGAGTTCATTTGCCTTAAGTGTAAGTAGGTCACAGCGCACTGGTGTGAATAGCAAACTTTCCTCGCACCAGTGTGAATAGATGTCTGACATGGTGCAGTGTGAATAGGTCTCTTCCTGAGCACCTTCCAGAAAGGCCTTAAATCCCTACAACCTGGTCTCATGACGAACTCAAACTGTCACGCACACGAATAGAGCATCAGACAGACACTGTGAAGAAGCTCTCAAGCTCCACCAATTCTCTGCGACGCTGAGCATGGAGGAGATCAGCACAGAAACGGCAGCGTTTGCATCGCATCGCAATGCGAGTACATCAAGACGATGACAATACAAGTGTGATTAGCAACCGTTAATGAAACCTCGCACCGTCGAAGGCTCGAGTCTCGGCCTCTGCTCGTTGCGAATTATGTCGTTTGGAATCTGGAGCTCTCAGCATGGGGCAACTTGCGTTGAGAGCTTGGACAGTCGTGCGGAATTCTGAGATCCAACGCGAAAAAACGGATTGAAACATTGGCCGCATCAGATACTCGATTAAGTCGGTTTCTATTGGAGGAAGATGATGCTGTCGTTGTTGCTTGATAGTTTCATTGGAGTCTCCCCGGCAGCAGCCTTCGGTCTCATCTTCTGTCTCTTGTATTACACTGATGCACTGAACTTCGGCACTTCAATGGTTCTCACGAAAGGGTTGTTGGAAAGACCGGCGAGAATTCATGCATTCGATCTGATTTGACGATGAGGCCGCAATCGGGATGTGCGAGAAAGAATTATGAGCATGTGGATGTGTACCTGAAGGGAGAGTTTGACAATATTCTCGTGATGAGAATTCCTTGCGACGGGGAGTTCAGAGAACAGAAGCTAATGCCTTGTCTGGCGATGTGCCTAGGACCTGAATTTGCGCTTTACTGTGGATAACATGGCAACATCCAGGACAGGGTACCCCCGAATGGATCTAGGGGAAGAATACAAGGGCAGGAAGAGGAAGAAACCCCATAGTGCATCCACGAGTGCTCCCCTCAGACACGCAGAGGGGCTCAAACCGCCAGTGCTGAGCACGGCAAGCGGCCTGCTCAACATGCTCAAGGAGAAACATCCCATACTCAAGCTACATGCGCTGAACAACCTCAACGTCTTCATGGAGAAATTCTGGCCCGAAATCGCAGCCGAAATAGCCCAAATCGAACTGGTCTACGAAAACGAGCATTTCGAGCACCGGCACTTAGCAGCTCTAGTGGCATCCAAGGTGTTCTACCACCTGGGAGACCTCACAGAGTCCTTGGTTTATGCTCTGGGTGCAGCTTCCCTATTCAATGTCGCAGAGAGGAGCGAATATGTGCAAACATTGGTGGCGAAGTGTGTGGACGAGTACATTAGCATCAATGCGAGGCTGGAGAAGGGGGAAGGTTGCTTCTACTTGGATCCAAGGCTCGTTGAAGTTGTAGACAGGGTCTTGGACCAGTGTCTCATGGACGGGAAATCCGAGCAAGCTTTAGGGATTGCGCTTGAATGCCGACGGTTGGATAAATTGGAAGAGGCGATCACTACAGGCCAGCATCCAGAAACAAACTTGAGCTATTGCCTCAAACTCTCCCAAACGTTCGTGAATTCTCGGCATTTTAGACAGGACGTGCTGCGGTTGTTGGTGGAGAATTACCAGCGACTGCAAGAGCCCGATTATTTGAGTCTCAGCCAGTGTTTGATGCTGTTGGATGAACCCCAGGAAGTGGCAAAAATGTTGCAGGCGCTCATTCGAGGTGACGGAAGGAACGCATCGGTGGCATATCAAGTAGCCTTCGACCTGTTTGAGACTGAGAATCAGAGATTCTTGACCAGGGTGGATGAGTTTCTCCAGGACTTTGAGGCTTCCGAATCCCCACAGAATCATGACATGGAATTGAATTCCAATTTCACTAGATCCTCTCTAACAACACAACCTGCTCTAAACGATAAACAAAGGCCAGTTGATTCGGACAGCGACCACAAAGCTGTTGATTCCTCTGAACCAGAGTTTGATTATAATGCTGGTGCTTTGGCATCATCCTCACAAAATCCACCGGCTATGGAGTTGGATCGGCAGTGCCAGGATATCGGAAGTCCCAGGAAAGGAATGCAAAGATTGTCCTTTCATGAGAGACTGAAGAAGCTGAAAGGGATTTTGAGTGGCGACATCCCCATCAACCTCCATCTCCGTTTCCTGAACAGCAACAATAGATCTGACCTCCTGCTTTTAAAGACTATCAAGCAATCACTTGAGACTCGCAGCAGCAGCATCTGCCACACCGCCACGATCTACACCAATGCTCTCCTGCATGCCGGCACAAAAGTGGACACATTCTTGAGGGAAAATTTGGGCTGGCTGCGGTACTCCACAAATTGGGCGAAGTTCAGTGCCACAGCAGGGTTGGGGGTGATATACAGGGGCTATTTGGACCAAGGAATGTCCCTGCTCGCTCCCTATTTGCCCCAACATCGCGGTAGTCCATTCTCAGAAGGCGGCGCGTTGTATGCCCTAGGATTGATTTACGCCAATCATGGCAAGCGGGTGAGGCACTTCCTCTTGGAATGTCTCCGAAACGCCAACCACGAGGTGATCCAGCACGGGGTGTGCTTGGGTATCGGTCTCGCAGGGCTGGCTACTGCAGATGATGAGATTTATGAAGAAGTCAAGGGGATATTGTACAGAGAAAGTGCGGTAGCTGGGGAAGCCGCGGGGATTGCTATGGGGTTGCTCTATGTTGGCTCCGGGACTGACAAGGCAGGGGAAATGCTGGCCTACGTGCAGGACACGCAGCATGAGAAGATCATGAGAGGCTTGGCGCTAGGGATCGCGCTCACCGTCTACGGACGTGAAAATGAAGCGGATTCCCTGATTGAGAGGATGACGAGGGATCAGAACCCGGTAATGCGCCATGGCGGGATGTGCGCCTGGGCTATGGCTTACAAAGGGACAGCTAACACTACCGCCATTCGGCGATTACTGCATCACGCGGTCCATGATGTGAGCGACGATGTGAAGCGAGCCGCGGTGATCGCGTTGGGGTTTGTCCTATGCACACAGCCCGAGCAGACGCCAAGAATTGTTTCTCTTCTCGCGGAGTCTCACAATGCATATGTCCGCTACGGGGCGTCCCTCGCGATAGGAATTTCCTGCGCTGGAACGGCGTCCAAAACAGCGATTGCATTGCTCGAGCCGCTCATCACTGACTCAATCGACTTCGTGCGCCAGGGCGCGCTAATTGCGATGGCCATGGTGCTGATACAACACACCGAGGCTTACGAAGCGCGCGTGGGGCCGTTCCGAAAGCAGCTTGAGAATATCATGAAGAACAGGTACGAGGAACCGATGACAAAGATGGGGGCGATTCTCGCGCAGGGGATCCTGGACGCAGGGGGCCGCAATGTGAACATTCTGTTGAAGTCGAGGAATGGCCACTGCCGGATGACTGCGACGGTGGGGATGGCCATCTTCTGCCAATTCTGGTACTGGTACCCTTTCATCTATTTCATCAGCCTGTCCTTCAGCCCCACAGCCTTCATCGGCCTCACGGAGGAGCTTCGCGTCCCAAAGTTCAACTTCATATCTCAAACGAAGCCGTCCATGTTCGCATACCCGCCACCCACACCTACCCCATTGCGAGATTCTTCACCCTCCAACCCCAATCCCACCCCTGCCATGCTCTCCATCGCCGCTAAACGACCCCACGTCGATGCGAAAGACCGCAACATGAACAACACGAAAACCCCAGCTCCAATCACGCAAGAAGCAACCAGAATCACAGCGCCAGCATGCTACTCGCCAAAGTCCTGCACCGGCATCAACGAGTCAAGCCATGACCACGTCGCAGCGAAAGCTAACCTCCCATCGACGCATTCTCTCTCCAAGAAGTTGAAGACCACCTTCGCACCTGGAGAATCGTCACGAAACTCAGAGCTCCCGAGCTTCCTCACAAGATATGACCAGACCACCGACGACATGGCGAAGCAGCAGCAGCAGCAGGATCCACCAGCAAGAATCGAGGAGAGTGTGGACCCACCGACACCGCCTCACGAGGAGCCTGCATCGGAAGTGCTCAACAACCCAACTCGTGCAATCTCTGCCCAAGTGAAATTCTTCCACTTCCCACACAGCAATCGCTTTGTGCCGCTTCTTCCACAGCGGCAGCCCTCGGGGTTCGTCATGCTGCTCGATACACAGCCCTCCTCCGAACCCGAAGCTCAGTACATGTGGGATGATGTCGAGGAGGATTGATTGATTACTCCTCACCGACACCGATACCGATACCGACACCTCCCTCGTCGTCTCGCAAATTTCTATTTCCTGTTTATTATGTTTGGTTTTACTTGATGGTGTTGCTTTAATGCCAACGTTCGGAAGAAGTGTGTTGTATTGGAAATTATCAGTTGTCAAACAGATGAGAATGCTTCTTTGATTTTTTTTGGAAACTATATTAGAAATCATTTTCTATATGTAACAAATATTTATTTTTGCAATACAATGGTTTCAGTAGTAGCATTGAACTATTTTTGAAACTCAATCAATATAACAATTATGCGTCTAAACATTATTAGTAGGTGTTTATTTATATATGATATTTATATTAAATAAAATAATTTAATAAATGTATATATATAGAAAGATATATATATATATATATATATATTCATTCATTCATTTATTTATATTTTGTGTCAATTTACAGAATTAATGTAAAATAAAAAAAGTATAATAAATGATGTATTCTCTAAAAATCATTATTACACATTATTATATTTTTAAATGTCTATTACTTTGTTTTAAATATACTAAAATTTAAAAAATTAACATGCATAAAATTAAATTAATAAAAATAGAATGATATATGTACATGTATTATTTTTATAAATAGAAAAAAATAAAAATAATTAGAAGCTGATTAAAAACATTTAAATAGCTAATATCTTCTTCAGGAAACATCAATAAATGTGTTAGATGCAAATTAGATTTATAGATGCATCATATGGTAATATAGAAATATTTTTAAAATAAAAATAAAATCTTCTATAAAGCTACAATGGAGGCATCATGCTACTTCAACCTCACATAAAAGTCTTGTAATATTTTTTAAATAAAAATACAAGGTATTTACATTAGCTAGTGCATTTGGAGGCAAAACTAAGCCTATTTTGAGCCTTGAATATGCCTTCTTACTATTCTAGTCTTAGTTTAAGACTTTTTAGTTTTTATATGTTTAGCAATATCTATTGTAATATCTATTTATTTTATAAATGTATAATAAATATACAAAATAGTGCTGTATTGGTGGCAAAATTATGTTATTGGTGGCAAAATTATTATATAATTTTCACCAATATAATTTTGTATTTATAATAATTTTCAATATTTTAATTTTACCACCAATATAATTTTCAATATAATGATTTTTTATTTATAATAATTTTCAAACAAAGGTTTTATATATGAACCACAATTTGATAATATAATTACTTTAAAAATAAAATTAAAATGCATTTCATGAAAAATAGATTGTAATGATTTATTTGCAATAAAGTACAGAGAAAAATTTGCATTAGCAGACAATAGTAGCTTGATTTTTCATATTCAGGAGAAAAAATAATCAGTTGTGAGTGTATACTAAGCATCAAATTTTTGTTCCTACTTGAAGAGTTAACTTTTTAAAGAGAACAATTAAACATGTCCTAGATAATACAAGTTTTATAATTGAAGTATTATTCTACAAGGTAATTTGATGTCACCTTTTTTCTTTCTTCTTCTTGCATCCTACTTCATAAAAAAAGAAACATAAAAGCCTAGTTTTTGGAACATGGATTGTTTCTTCAATACCATATCTATGTCTCTAGTTGACCCCCACTTGATAATATTCCAAGTTTGTTTTGTAGATTCTTGTCTATAACATCAAAGAAAAAACTTGTGGATTGCATTTTCTCACAAATGAAGTTGTGGTTGAATTCCATGTCCAACATTAAGCTACAACTGGAAGAACTTATGGTACCATTGAGCTCCTAGCCAATTATGGTCTTTGGACCAAGATTCAATATCTACCTCAAGAATGTGATAGAAAATTTGTAGTGTTTGTGTGGAAGAATAACATTGATATTGTCTTGTGATGTAAAATGGTAGCTGATTGTACCAACATGGAGGATCCCAACTTCAAACCATGTTGTTCTTTCACACAGAATTTCATTATCTTTGGATTATTCTAAACAAACTTGAAGTTGAGAGTAGCTCCTAAACAACCTCGAAATTTTTAGCAATTTGTTTATAGAGCACAATCTGTTAGAAAATGAGTCCAAAAATCTTTCACTAGCTTATTGTTGTAGAATTTTTTTTAAAGTAGGGTGTGAATTTTGCTCCAATTGGAGTAGCTGCAAATGTCAACAATAGAATTGAGCAAAAGTTCAAATAGATGTAAGTCACAATATATGTTTGAAAGATTTTTGGAGCATTTTGCCACAAGTTGGGCAATCACCCTCCTTTGCTATTTTTTATTTTTTTTATTTTTTTCTTATTTTTGTTGAAAGTATCCACATGCAACTATACTACATAAAAAATTTAAATATTTTTTATTTGCATTTTTGGAAGATCAAACTTGGTTTCACTATTGACAATGTTGATTGTTCCAATATAAGATTGCATTGTTGTAAACTTGAGATTGGAATACAAAGTTGTTTAGAAAACATTGCCTTGTCAAGGAATTTGATGCAAGTAAGATGATATTGCTTTATTTAGAGAGAAAGAATATTATTGAAAAGAACTCTTGAATGAGACTCATAGAGTTGGGAACAAGAAGGGTTGAGATGAGAGCTTAGAACGAGAGGGGTGGAGATGAGGGCCATGATTGTAATGATGGTTTTTGGAGATGATCCACTTTTTTAATGATAGTTATAATAGGATGGATTGATTTAGTAAATAGGTGGGTCATTTTAACATATATATATATATATATATATATATTCATCTTTTGATTTGACATTCATTTCAAATATTTTTTTTCTTCCTTTTTTTTCCTACATTTAATAACTATCAATCATATTTGTACCTACTCCAAAAAGAAAAAAACAATACTGCACCATTACATTATTACATATTACAAACCCTTTTTTCATGTAGTGCAATATTCTATGAACAACTCCTCACCAAATTCACAAAAGCAATAAACAACCTTCGTCATGACTACAGCTGTTACCCTGGTCCAGAATTCCTTAGTTACTTTTTTTCACTTTCACTTTTTCAACCTTCGTCCTGAGTTTTTTTTATAGTAAAGGGGCACCCACCCAACACACCCCATAAAATTCGGAGATAGATACGAAGTGATCCAGGTCCAATCTCAGCTGTCGCCGCAGCGTTTCTCCGGCAGCATATTCACACAACAACTACACACAAAACCAAGCAAGCACCACTTGGGTATTGTTCAGTCCAGAGCTTGCTTGCTTGCTCGCTTCTTCATGCTTTGTTAGACACAGAGATCGTTAGGTCATTCTGCAGGCAGCAGCAGCAGGGGTTGATTCTCTGAGGAACGTTATGAATATTCCTCAGGTCGAAGCTCGCATCCGCCGATTACCCCATTCTAAGATTGACGAACGGGGTGGGTTCAAAATTGGGTGCGAGGACGCGGAGCTGAGTCGGAGAATCTCGCCCTGGTCACGAGCCCTGCGTTCCTGCACGCGAGATTCCCCACACCACCGCTGCGCCACCTCGCACCCTCGCCCATTCCGTCGCTTAGCTCTTACAGGTCCGATCACACTTTGGCTGCGTTTTGCAGACTCCCAGAGAGCTTGACGAAGTTTTGATTCGTTGGGACGTCGTGAGCGAACTCTCCTGAAGTGTGTGCTTGTAAACGCCGCGCACGGCCCTGCGCTTGCGTCTCCGCCAGTTAGCAATTTTCCCGTAGGACTTGCACAGTTGCAGCTGTGGAGTGATTTGTTTGCAGTTGGCTGGATTGGTAGTCTGCGAGTGCTGGGGCCTGTTTGAGCGTGTGTCGATTGCTGGTACTTGGGCATCTGGTTGTGATTTCTAGGTCTTTCCGGATTGTAAGAGTGCTAGCGAAGGTCTCCATTAGTGGGTTTTACATGCGCTCAGCACGTGCCGATGTGGCCACCCGGTGTTAGCTGAAACGTGGGAGAGCAGAGGATTTTGGATTTTGGCGGTTTTGGTGACTTCAATAGTTTGTCCGTAGAGCTTCAAAGGAGTTTGAAAGTTTTTCTTACGCTCTTGTGTAGTTGCAGTTTCTTCTGTTAGGAGTTGTTCGTTGATTTGGAGATTGATAGGAGCCAGGGTTTCCCTTGCCGAGCTCCGTTTTGGAAGCTTTGTGCGAGAGCCATTGCGTGTAAGCATCTATTGTTCAGCGGTTGACGTAGGAGTTGAGGTTTTGATTATTGACTGGGGAACTGTAGGTGAAGGAGGTTGATAGCTATGGAGGGCCACTCCCACTCTCACGACCATTCCCACGACCACAGCCATGATTTATCCCATGGCCACTCGCATGATCACTCTCATGATCACTCACATGACGATCATACTCACGATCATGATCATCAACACGGCCTCGACCATAGTCATGCCCACCCGTGAGCACCCGTCGTCCTTCTTTTTCATTGCATTGAGGCTGTTTGTGTTCGCTCATGTTATGCGGGTATTTGAGAAATATTCAGGTGTTTTAGTTTGGCATAGCCTCGAGCTGGTGACCAATTCTTGTGTAATGCTTCTAGATCCATTTGGAGTTTACAGCATCTTGATTTATTGTAACACCGACCCAGCACAGGCTTTGATTTGGGTTGTGTTCAATGTGGATAAATAGGGCTCAAGGAGAGTTCGTCGGTGCTGATGGGAAGATATACCATTCGCATGACGGGTTAGCTCCACATACGCATGAGCCTCTGGAGTCTCCAGGGTTTTTCAGCAGACGAGCTGCACCTCTTACAACACGAGACTTTAAGGAACGAGGCTTCACAGTGGGAATTGGCGGGCCAGTTGGCACTGGGTATGTGTTGCAGAATCAGTCTTACATGATCTCTGCTGTATAATGAACTTTTCTAGTCCAGGTAGTGAGTTCTTGTGAACTTAAGAAAGTGTGGAGGGAACAGAATGGAGGATGGAAACTTTTTTGAAACTTTAGAAAGTTGTGTTTGTCAACTGCAGGCCAGGTTATTACTTTTATGTCTGATCAATTTGTAGTTGTACATTTGTGCTACAAGGGAGTAATCTTGTTTTAAAAGTTCAGTCGCGGTAATCTCTTCTGCTTTGAACATTCCAGGAAAACAGCGCTTATGTTGGCGCTGTGCGAAACCTTGCGCGACAAGTACAGCATTGCTGCTGTGCGTTCTAAACCCTTATATTGCTCTGTTGCCCTTTAATCACTGCATTTTATTCTAGACAGTGTTTGTTACTGCTTCTGCAATTGATGATTCCTTGAACACGCTGTATTCTGAGGCAGGTCACAAACGATATCTTCACTGAGGAGGACGGAGAATTTTTAATCAAGCATGGAGCGCTTGCTCCTGAGAGGATCCGTGCAGTACAGACTGGTGGCTGTCCACATGCAGCGATCCGAGAGGACATCAGCATAAACCTAGGACCTCTCGAGGACCTTTCGCAGACTTTTAAAGCAGATATTCTACTGTGCGAGTCTGGAGGAGGTAATACTCCTCAGTATCTTATTACGGTATTGTTAATTGGACTGGAATTACACGTATTACCTGTGTTTAAATGATAATGTAAAGTTTCATTCGAAATTGGATTTGGAGTTTCGAATTTCTTGAAGAAGCCTGTTGTTAATCCTCGAGTTTGTTGTGAGTTTTCTGCAGACAATCTAGCGGCAAACTTCAGCAGGGAGCTGGCAGACTACATTATTTACATCATTGATGTATCCGGTGGTGATAAAATTCCTCGCAAGGGTGGTCCAGGCATCACTCAAGCAGATCTTCTTGTAAGATTTATTGAAGATTACAGAATGTAGAAAAAGCACGTAGAAGGTTGTCTACGATCGGCAAAAGTTGAAAAGTGCGAGTTGCAATCAGCTAGTTGTTTCTGGCAGTGGTGGTGTCTGCTATCTAATCTTGAATGAAGGTTTACGCCATTCAGTACCTTGAAACCAACTGTTGGTTAAACAACGTTTCGCTAGTTTGTTCTCTTATGTATTTAGAGCCTTGTAACTGGGAACTTGATTTGCGTTTTATTTACCGCAGGTTATAAACAAGACTGATCTAGCGGACGCAATTGGAGCAGATTTGAAGGTCATGGAACGTGACTCATTGCGTATGCGTGATGGTGGCCCTTTTGTCTTCGCACAGGTACCTCCTTCAGATTCTTGGGATTATTATTACTCAACCGATTTTTATTTCAACTACCTCTGGTTTTAGCTAAATTGGAGATGAACCTCAAAGACTTGAACAATATATTAAGTTGGAATGAAAAAAACTGAAGACTGAATTGGTCATCGTTAGATAGAGTTTGAGAAGAGTTGTTTCAGGTTAAGAGTACGGAGAATGGTATTTTAGTTTGGTGCCTCCTTATCTAGACTATTTTCACTGACCCTGGGAACGAAATACACATTAAAGAGCCAAAGCATCGACCGAAATTAGGTGAAGTTTAAAGATATCTTTATCATCCCTTCTGTGACTATTGATCGTGGTTGATAATCTCTTTCTCTGTATTTTGAAATTTTGCTTATTTATTGCACATTTCAATTTGCAGGTGAAACACAAAATAGGCGTTTCAGACATTGTGAACCACGTTTTGAAGGCATATGAAGAGAGCAAGAAGCCCCATCATCATGCCCATGAAGATTAGTACGATACCACAAAACTTCAAATTAAATAATATGTTCGCATTTGCTGGGTTTGTGTCATGAAAGTTGCTGTTTGACTTTCAAACGCTTCTTCTACGAACTATATATCTGCTGGGAATTTGTAACCATCCGTTACTGTTCATGGAAGAGGTTTGATTTTGTAGTGAAATGCCACAATCTTTATCTGTCGATGGTGCATCAATTGTCGTTCTAAAAGTGCACTCTTATAAATCACACGTAAATGGATCCTTTCTTTTCGACGCATGCATGTCATGTAATCTTTTGAAAGAAGTGGAAAGACGTCGCAAGAATGCAAATAGTCGAAAATGTTAACAATCAAGAGTCACATCGGAAGAAGTGATAATCATTGTAATTGGAATCTATTTGTAATGTATTTCTCAAGGCAAATTTGTCTCTCAACCTGTCGCTCTTTCACAGAACTACACAAAGCAAAGTAGTACAACATTTTGACTCCAGAAAAACCAATAAGCAAGATTTGTGCAGGATAAAATAGCTATAACCAGCGTAATTTCACATACTGTTACAATGTGTGGAGTCAAATGTCCCCGGAGTGCCTTGAATACACTAGAGCTCCACACTTCGTGATAGTATGTGAAATTATACTGGTTACAGCTATTTTGTCTTGCACGAATCTCGCTTGTCAGTTTTTTGGGCATTCACATGTGCAATTACTTTGCTTTCTTCAGTTTTGTATGAGTGACAGGTTGAACAACAATTTTTTTACATATAAAGTTTTTAAAACAACAATAACACATCTCATAGTTGCAATATATCTAGAAACATCTTCACCACTTTCTTTATAAAACAATTTCATAACTTTCTTAGTAATTTGACTATTTCTAATAAATGTAAAATTGTTAACATAGAGACAACATGTCTTAAGTACGAAAAAAAATTATATCTTTTGAAAATTTAAAACTTTTAACTTAAATTGTTTAATGAAATTGTAGCAAAATGATATATCTACAGAAAAACTTAAAATACATATATACATATATGAAACGATTTAAGATTTAAAGTTCTAATCTTAAAGATATTTAAATCTATGTATTTTATACAATATATCTGAATATGTTCTATCACTATTATGTCTAATTTTATCTTTTAAAAATTGTAACAAAAAATAAAATAAACATTTCAAAATCACAACAAAACATTCAAGTTAAAAGAAAACATGAAACATCAATACAAATACAATCAAATGTAATGTAAATATTGTGTGTATATATATTCATATATTTAACAATGCTCTCAAACAACACCTAATATGTTAAAATTGACGAAACCATTTTAAATTAAATAAATAATTAAACAAAAAATGTAGTATCAATGATTGCACATCGAAAGAACAAAGAGCATTAGAACATGTGCACGAAAACACATAATAAAAAAGTAAAAAGTAAAATAAAATAAAACTTCAACATCAAATACATTATCATGCCTTACAATCTTCACGGATAGATAAAAATCTTCATATCCAGACATGCACACACACACAGTCTTTATTTACATTATCCACCACTCTACGGTGGAGACTGGCAGAGCTAATAGGCTCGAATAAGGCTTTCGGTACGAGTGTGCCGCATCGGTGTATCGTTGCATCGCACCGTCCTTGTCGTTGCCAGATTGTTGCGAGATTTTGCTTGTAGGGGTAAGGGACCCCATTCAGCGTTGCTCACGCACGGAAAGATTTCAGCTTGGTTTGTGCGGGTCGGAGGTTTTGGAGCTCTTTCTTTCAGGGTTTTAGAGGCTTTTCCAGGGTTTAGGGCCATGGCTACTTCAGTACAAGCAGGAATGGCGTTGATTCCCCGGTCTCCTTTCGTTGAGGTATTACATTCCTGTGACTAATGTTTATACTCTTGCAGTTTTCTTTTGTCAATTCTTGATTAATGGTTGGCCATGTTTGAGTGAGTACATATTTGTACAAATACGGGTGTTCGTGTGATAGGAAAGAGCTTATTTAATTATTTATTTTATAATTTTATTTTTACTGAATGACAATGTGGGCGTTGCTGCGAGTCTAAAAATTGTTGATGAGTTGAAAGGTGGCGCAAAATTGTAAGTCAGATTGGCTGTGTATTGGATTCGCGATGTTTTGGAATTAAAAATCGGCTTGACGATCGTTGGATTGCTTGTTGTGTTGTAGTTGTGTTTAGAGATTGGCTAAGTAGACCGGATTTTGGTTCCAGGGATATGGAGTCCCCACTAAGCAGTTCTTGAGGAGCGCGATGGGTAGCGAGCTTCTGGTTGCCTGCAGAGGTGCCAGGACTAGCATGTCTGTAGCACCGGCTTCGAAGAACCGAGAGGTAGTTAAATCCTCCAAGGGCGGTCAGAGTGAGACGGTGCGAGTGGGTGTTCTCGGCGCCAGCGGGTACACTGGATCCGAGGTGCGTGTTCAGCGTATCTCGGCATTGTCAGTGTTTGGTTTCACTTGCATAATTTGGCAGCCATATTCCTCTATCATTGTCGTAATGAGCTGCAAATTGGGGAGTGTTGGATAGATCATTCGCCTGCTAGCGACACACCCAGTCTTTAAAGTGACAATGATGACAGCCGATCGAAAGGCAGGCCAGTCCTTAGCATCCGTCTTCCCTCATCTGGCTACACAGGTTTGGTTCGAAACATCCTTGCAACACTTAACAGAATTTTTTTTGAAGTAGTGTTCTGTGGTTTTAATTCTAGTTTTGTGCAGGAATTGACGTGCTTTGTGCTCGTTCCAGGATTTGCCGAACATGGTCGCAGTCAAGGATGCCGATTTCTCGCAGGTGGACGCTGTATTCTGTTGTCTTCCTCATGGAACAACTCAGGTGTGTACTTGACAGTGTATCTTTTGCTAATCGGTGGAGTTCTCTCGTTGTTGTAGGTTGCGACTGTATACTGAGGTGTTCTTTTGGTTTCTACCAGGCAACATTTTTGAGGACTATGTGATGTTTTGGGCAGCCGTGGATCAGTGGCTGCTATCCTTTGTATTTGGAGCATTGGGGTAGGATTCTGAAGTTTTATCTTTGTAGTTTAGATGATGAACGTGCTCGTGTATATTGCAGGAGATAATTGCAGCTCTTCCGGACTACTTGAAGGTTGTAGATCTTTCAGCGGTAAGCAATAGATCAAGGGCCAAAGACCTGTGTCATTTGCAGCTTTAGTAATGCTTTCCGTGCTAATAATGTACTGTGTAGCTTTTGCATCCCTTGACTAATCCTGATTTTTGATGAGGACTAATTTTAGGTAGTCGGTTACCTGTTTTCACAGTATGGTGTGTCTCACACAGTACTGATCTAGATAAATATGTTGGGTCACTCCAAAAAGTTTCTTTTAAGAGAATGTTTTCTGTGAGTGGGGTTCTAAATACTCCAAAGGGCAGAAACTGGGTTCATTTGTCAAGCAGTTCTGGAACTTGTTTTCTACGCTTGCCAGTTCACAATACAGGAGTGATATGTCAAAGACCGATTAATGGAGTATGTGAATGATAAACTTGTGGTTAGTAAATGGTGCAGGATTTTCGACTACGGAACACAAAGACGTATGAAGAGTGGTACAATGGACCCCATCGTGCTCCTAAGCTACAGGTTTCTTTCTCGAAATATCTTTTAATCCTTTTTCTCAGCTTTTTTTTAATGGTTCTCATAGAATTTTCCATTTAACGTGAGTGAGAGCTTTCGATAAACTCAACCAAGTTTAGCTTTGCTTACCTATTTGTACTTATTACAGTGCATTTCTATTTAAGCCAAATACGTCCTTGTTTCATCTAGTTTCATCAGATTGATAAATGCATGGTGAACCAGGCAATTTGTAGATGATTTTTGAATGTGCTTTAGTCCTCAATCTTGAGTCTAACACCAAGTTTGATGAATGTGGGGTTTTCTTTGAACTGAACAGCTTGTAACCAAGTTTCCCAAAAATCGAGAACTTATCTCAGAATGAATCTATTGACTCTTGTTTCAACCTCTGTTGAATTTGCAGACTGAAGCTGTGTATGGATTAACAGAGTTATATAGAGACGAAATCCGAGCAGCGCGTTTGGTTGCAAATCCTGGGTGCTACCCAACTTCAATTCAGCTTCCTTTGATTCCTTTGCTAAAGGTGCGTCCGTCTCCCTAAGCAATTCACTGAATCTAGAACTGTCTTTACAATATTGTGTTGTCTCATTAACAATGTGCAGAATTTTGAGTTTATATCACTTATTTTCTCCTACGTCCTTTCTCAGGCCGGATTAATTGAGAAGGATAACATTATCATTAATGCGAACTCTGGAGTCAGTGGTGCAGGTACATAACATATTATTTGCTTTAGTTCGTAGTTTCCCAACTGGATATTTTATTCACGTGTAATCAGTGTGAGAGTTTAGTGCATATGACACTAGCACTTAATGTATTGGAATTTTGTCATGTATAGGTCGGTCTGCGAAGGAAGCAAATTTATATACGGAGATTTGTGAGGGCATTCATGCTTACGGAATTACTAGACATCGTCATGGTAAATTTCCATTTGCTTCCATGTTCACTCCTTATTTTTGCCAGTGTTTCCAGTCAGAGCTGTAACAGTATATCATTCGTGTTCGTGGTAACACGCTCTTGCAACTTTAATCAAACTTGAAGCGATGTGTAGTAATTTATTGTTCCTCATGTGGTTATCTGTTATGTTGCAGTACCTGAAATTGAACAAGGACTTGCTGACACAGTTGGTTCTGATGTTACAATCAGCTTCACTCCAAACCTCATGCCCATGGTAATAATCTGCACGGATTTCAAGTTCAGAAAAAACATTATAGCTTTAAATTATGTATCGGAGCTCGTAGTAATTAATTTGTTTTATTAGCATCTTTGCCTACAAGGCAAGACAACCTAACTTTCCCCACTAATTGTTGCTCCACTCTAATTTTGTTTCGCAGAGCCGAGGAATGATGTCTACCATGTTTGTTGAAATGCAACAAGGCGTGACAGTGGATGTCTTAAGGAACCACCTTGTCGAGCGATTTTCCGTAAGTTTCTTGGCCTGCTAAGGTTCCTTGAGTTAATTATCTCATTCTTTTCGGAATAAAAATCTGCAACCTCCCTGAGGATATGTAGCCAGTTTCCTAGTCTTTACAATGCACGTGCCCTTTGTGCTTATTATAATGGCTTCTTCTTTGTGTATTCCAAATTTCCTTGAATAGTCTCTTACGTTCAGTAACGGTTATTGGGCAGGATGATGAGTTTGTTGTGGTGCTAGAAAAGGGTATAGCACCTCATACACGCCACGTACGGGGATCAAACTATTGCTTGATGAATGTTTTTGAGGATCGGATTCCTGGAAGAGCAATCATCATCTCTGTGGTAAGCTCTCAACACGCACGTTCCAATGGAAATAATTTCTTATGTGAACACCATCACTATGCCCTGAGTTTTTTCTTCTGAAACCACGGATTAGTTAGTTACATAGTTAAATATACTGGATTCATAGCGAGTGTCCTGTCTTCAGATCAACTTTCTATTGACAGACTACGCAGAAGTACACTAAAAAGGACCCTGCTGGTTGGCTTTTATGCCGTTTGTTTCTTGTGTCTGATGTAAAGTTTCTTTCTACAGATCGACAATCTTGTCAAGGGTGCATCAGGCCAAGCCCTACAGAACTTGAACCTGATGATGGGCTGCCCGGAGGAAGCTGGCCTTCTTCAGCAACCGATGTTCCCTTGATCTGGTGACGAGAATATTTGGTTTTCATTGTTGATAGACTGAGTGAGCTTCATCCGTGCTTCGTTATTATGAATTGTGTCCCCTTATGTTGATCAGTTTTGATAAGCTGGTTATTCTGGTCATTTAGAGTTAGAGAGGAGTACATACTTCTCATAGCTCACCATTTGCATTTAAGGATTAAGTAGATCCTTTTCCTGAACGCAGAATATTTGAGTGTATTGTTTGTGAAGTTGCGGATTAGATGATGTGTATGTTGAAGTAGCTTGATGTGTTTTAGTCATGCAAACATTGACTTTGTTAGGGAACAATAGTATTTTGAAACAATCAAATAATCTATATGAAAAAACTTGAGATTTTAATATTTTTCGATGAAAAGCAGTGCTGAAGTAGGTATTTAATCCTGTCATTTTTTTTTAATTCTATCATATTAATATTTCAAAGTAGAAAAATTGACAAAATATTATACACTTCGTAGGTTACAGAACAAGGTTACTGTATCAATGGGCCACATCAATAACATCGTTTTGAAGTTTAAACTGTGCATATATGTAAATGTGAATGCATGTATGCGCATCCAAGTAGTCGTGTGAAGGTGTTTCCACACTATTAAGCTATGAAACAATAATTATTTATGAAAATTATTGGGAACATTCAAAGTAGTCTCAATTTTGCTTTCGATTGTACTAACTATTACATTAGTGACAAAAAAGAATAATGAAATTCTTGATCAATAAATTTATGCCTACTTATGTTTTGTGAACCTATTATTGCAAATCTAAGGTTTGAAAAATAACATGATATTTTTAAAGTGTAGAATTGTTTTTTTGGGATGTAGGATATAACAAATACTGTCACAGTTCCAAAAAACACAAAGTTATTTTTGTATCCATAATGCATATAATATTCTTAAAAAATAAAACAAAAAATATGTTTTATGAATTGATTGTATTAAAAAAACTAGTAGAATGTAAAATTATAATTATACTCTAATATACAACAATACTCAAGTTATATTTGAAAATATTGACATAACATAATATAGAAGAGTCAATTAGAAAAATATTAAACAAATAATTTCAAAAACATGAGATTCTAATCTCTCATTGTTAGATAGGTGAGACACAAGCTAGATAACAAAAAAGATTGTAGGTTCTAAAGAAGTAATATTCATTAGATGGAATACCAAATTTTTTTGTAGTAGATTATTTACTCATAATTTGGATGCTATGCAAAGAGCCATCTAAAAAGAATATAGACTATCTCACAATAAAATAGATTGTTCTATAAATAATCTTTTAATTTTGTAATCATAGCAATGCATATGCCTTATATATGTCAAAAGATATATATATATATATATATATATATATATATAATTTTATTGATATAACCAAATTTATTCATTATTAGTATGTTGTAACATTAAATATGATTAATATATTTAATGATGATCTACCACCTTAAACTTGATTAAAAATTAGAATTATATATATATATATATATATATATATATATAGATATGCATAACATGTATGGAATTTTTTAGAGTTTTGAAATAATAGATTTGAATTACTTTTTCTTTGACTCATTATTAAAAGAGAAGGAATTATAATACCATTAACTCTTGGTCATTTCTTAAGTATTTTATATTTAAAAAATAAATGAATAAATAAATTTTTATGTGCATATGTGTGTACACATGTAATTTATTACGTCTAGATTTCTTGCGAAGTATAATATTTCACAGCATAAATTAAAATAAATTTATTATAAGATGTAATTTTTTTCAAAATTAACATTTTAAAATGTCCTTTGGACATTTTTTTAAAGAATTGGTAAAACTTTTGTTTTAATAATAAACATAGAAATGATATAAAACAAAAGAGGAATTGTTTATTTATGTAATTAATTGCAAACTTACTAAGAACTTCCATCACAACCATACAAATAAAATTTCAAAACATAATTCTTAATCCATGATAACACTAATACATATTTCAACATAATGAGCGAAAGTTTGAAACTCGATTTATAAAATAATGAAGATTTTATAATGGTTCAAAGTAATTGATAAACGATTTGAATCAGTATTAATCAATACAGCTAAAAAAATATATAAAAATACAATACTTGTATTTTTATTTTTTGAATCATAGCTTTGATATATGCATGCTCTACCAGCTTAGAATTTAAGGCTCAGTAATTTGTAAAATTACAAATTTATGAAATTACAAATTTTATGGGGGTTGATTTTGGTTCACAGAAACTAACCCTTACAATTTTACTGTATCTTGTGAAAATTTCAAAAGCACTCCTAAAATATGTCATTGAAGACCCTCAACAAACCTCTAAAAGTTGTCTAAACACACCCTAGGAAATCATTAGTAAATTTTATGGATTCAAAACCTCTCTTGGAATACCACATTTGCGAGGAGACTTCTTATCAGTATCACAGAGAATGCTCACTGGAAAAGGTTGACTTGGTATGGTCCCACTGCCACAATTTGTAGTAGTTCTAAATGCACAGATGTGCCAAGCAGCTACTATTACATCGATCCTGTACTATTTCTGAAAAGTTATGTATATATATATATATATATTCCGGATGCCTAAAGAATTCCAGGAGCATATTCTAAACCCTTATCATGTTACGCAATAAACCCTTGTTTCGTAAAACTGAGATCCGACGTAAGTGGCAATGTAGTTAGACTTGCAATCTGTTCTGAGAATAAAGTAAATAAATAAATGGAAACAAACAAACAAGCAAATACACAGAATAGCTTGAACATCGATTTTACAAGCACTAAGACGCAATAGTGAATCTTGAACAAACAGACAATGCGTTGCAAATCAAGAGAAGCATCAAGATAAGTAATTAGAGATGAGGTCCCATAGACAAATCAAATGAAGTTTCCGGACAATTGGGGTGCACTTCCTTCACTCATAATAGTGTACGCTTTGAAAATCTCTTCCAATGCATATAAGGCAAACGAGACTTTTCACTCAGGAAATCTAATGCTAACATCAATTTTAGAAAGACAAGGACTACAAGTGCCTAACATATGGTTCATAAAAATACTTGTCAGCTGAACAGCGAAAAAATGTGAATGTACGTCTAAGCATTGGCTACCACAACCAAATTTGAGACATTTGAGAGCCGGCAACAAATCCAAACCGTTGCGGATGACCACCATATTAAGCTCCTTATACTCCTTGTAGACTACGAAGAGATTTACGGAATAAATTTGTGCAAAACCTACAATGGACTGTTAAACTTCGCAAAATTTCCATCAACACGTTTATAATGTCATGAAATTGAATAGAGAACACTCGAGATAAAGTATCATGAATACTATTCCTAAAAAATGAATGTTGATTATTTACTGCCGCGCTGGCGTGTAAAGTATACGACTGAGCCAATCCCTGCTGCCACATACGGAAGCAGTGTCCAGATGCCCTACATCAAAACATGATAACATCCACAAACAATGAATAATCTCAGAAGGTTTCAGAAGATAAAATCAGAGCAGAAGTCAGCAGTAACTGTTGTAAAGTATGACACAAACTCAAATATTCACATTGTAATGTTTTTGACGACAATGCCAAGGGCAAGGTCAGGATGAGAGCCTTGATACGTAAATCTGGTTCTGCGACGTAAACTTCCGATGCTGAAAGCAGAATATCAAGGTTCTGGCTTTTCAAAAATAACGAGAACCTTGAATGCTTAACCATATCAGAAGCAGCGGTTTCAAAGACTCAAACATCGGCATTATAGAGCCAATAGATCAGAAATTAAAAAAAAGGGAAGGAATGTGTACCACGACAGCAGCAACTCCGGCTAGTGCAGCAACAGGACGGTCTCGGAGAACTACCCCAACGCTCAACTGTCAAATTTTGTATCAATGTGCTAAGCAATATAAATGCACTTTACGGAACGCTTCACATAAAAACCGTTTGCACTAATTTGTATACAACGAACCCTTGATCAAGGGCAAGCCCTCTACAAGTAACTTCATATGATCAATATGGTATAAGGAGTTTCAATTTCTAAAACCTCAACAGCTGGAGTACGCAGTGAAAAGTTATCACAATGTCACATTTGAACAACTCACAGTAAAAGAAATAATATCGTAAATCCAACTAAAGTGGACGACTCTCATATACTATTGAAGTCTTTTGCACACAACAACTATAGAAGAGTAAGTTTGTTAGAATTTATACCTGTAAAGGAAGCGTAATCAAACCACCAGCACAAACTCCAGCGAAATAGTTCGTTGGATTAATACCCTATACATTACTTGAGTGTAAAAAAACACATATATTGGCAAGCATTCGATCGCTGTATCAATCGGGTACAATCATAAATATGTATGACAATATTCACCATGTTTTTAAACCTATCAGTGAAAATTTGTGTCGAAATCAAGGTGTGGTGAAGCTGAAATCAGTAATAGCTCGGTTTGAGCAAGGTAAATATGAGAATTACATACCACAAATCCCGCAAGAAATGAGGTGGGGTTGCGTATGCCCAACGAAAACCGCTCAACTGCTCACAGTTTCCAGAAATAATCATTTAAGTTTAGAGGGTAATGGTAGAACAAGTATTGCCAATAGTAAGCACGCTGGACGTTTGAAGGTGAAGATACCATTGTAAATATATTGATGTGATCCTACATAGCAATAACTCACAAGGATAACATAACCCAAAATGTATAGCAGTACTCATTCAAGTGAAAAAGCGAAGCTTAACCAATTCCAATCAGATTCCCATGTCGTTGCACGTTGGCTTTTATTTTGTCGAATTTCTCCTGACTCACTCCCAGCTGTGCATCCCACAGAGGATACGTAACACACTCAGAATGCTGCCAAAGAGTAACTAAGCTTCTGAGTCATTATAAGTAGCGTTTTCTTCCTAAGACTGAGTGGAAACATTAATGATAATATACACTGAAAAAAAGAGTCTAACAAAAACACTGCGTCTTTGACAATACTTGTCCATCTGTACAATACCCAATCAACATTTGGAACACTTGGAGATTAAGAATTTTGAGAGAGCTTGAGAAGAATATGACTGCACCTTCTCGCATATCCGGTTGCCAGTTCCAGATTTGGCAGCCTGTCTGCCTGCAAAGAAAGGTACCATATCACTGATGCAAACGCCCCTGAAACATGCAAGATACCATTAGATAAAAGATGATAAGGCGCTATCTTCTCAAATGATGTAGAGACTATAGGAATTTCAAATAGCAATACGCTACCAATACAGCTTGACAAAGCCACTATAGTTCAATTGCCAAACATCTGAATTAAAAAATAAGACTGCCAACTTAACGCGTACTGCATAAAGGTCATTCCACAAAACTCCAATAGAAGTGTTTACAGCCCTATTCTCACCAGTAGACCCATATTACAGTCGAAAGAATGTATGGCAGATTTGCTGATAATGATGATAAAAAGGCATCTCGTGACTGATTCCATATTAGCATACGTCCCAACGTGCCACCAACCTGCAGCCATTCCATTTATGTTAAGAATATTCATACTGTCATAAAAAGTGAGACCCTGTGTTTGTTGATGCTCGAATTACAGCATTCAAATACGCATGTTGAAAAATCTCACTTCAACCGATTCTTGAGAGTAGAGTTACAATAAATCAGTGGTCGCTTCTGATTCCTGCACTTATTTAGCTAGTCTTAACGACAAGAGAGTAGATGCATGTGTTTCAAAGAGTAAGGGTTATCTTTCACATTATACCAGTAGGAGAGACGCACCCAAACATTCAATGCCTCCTCGCTCACAAATAGACCAAAACCCGCCGCCATCAGCAATAGAAAGTACATATACCTGCAACGTGCGGAAAAACATATGATCAAAACCAACGGCACAACGTCATCCACACAGTTTCTACTCTGTATTCATAAATGAAAACCAATTCTTCCATTGAACTAATTTTTCCATCGATCTAAGAAAGAAATTGACAGCATATACTTCTCCAGCCAAAGTCACAATTTTTTTCTTAGGCTGCTTCTTAACAAAAAAAAGGAGAATATGAGGTGGAGATGCCTCCGAACACCCCAAGATGGCCTTGTTGCACTTACCCGGGAGATCTTTCACTAAGAAAAAACTTGCGCCCAAACCAGTTCACAGTAAATTGCTCTACGCTTTGGGAGGAGGATGCAGATATTGACATGTCTGTTAATAGCTGCGATGCCTCCCTTTGATTGCTCCCGAACAAGTTATTGGTTCGCACAATGCCTGAGACGACCAAACCAACTGCAACAATAGCGATTCCAATTGCCACCCACACTTGAGGTTTCCTACTTGAGCTCCTAACTGAACCATTTGTGGTCTCGGGGGAAACAGGTGACTCAGGTGTTGCAGTGTCGCCATTCGTAGAAGCAGAACACCTTAGAATCCTATATCCTTCTCGTAACCTCCTGTGCAATCCACAAGACTTCAAAAAATCACAAAAGATATTCGTAGAAAATGGAAGGAACATAAGAGCAACACCCGTAAGAATTACAATCCTGAACATGGAATGCTGTGCATCATTGAGGCTGAGGAATGCTCCGCTTGACCAAGCAACTGTTTCGGATGGTGTCAATAGTTGTTCAAAAGCCTCCCAGAAGGAACGACACACAACGCAATAACAATAGAACAGAGAATATTCTAGACCTATTTCCAATTGCAGCGCCAATCTTGCCAAATAAATCATAGATCTTTGTTCGCTCAAGATACAATAACAATCAGTCAAAGCACAAGCCCATATCTTTCGCGGTTCCATATTAGCGAATCAACAACATCGCTTCTCTCCATAAACAAAGCCCAAGCACAGAATTCAAAGAGGGGGGGGGGGGGGGGGGGGGGGGAAGGGTGGAGGGAAATAACCCTCACAAATCCAGGAAACGTGATGAAGTGCTACCACTCTTGGAAACAAGTGCAGACCCATTCAACATCGACGTCGGTTGATACACAACCCCATGAGGCCGCCAATGCAAGCGGTGAAGACACAAACGAGGAGGCAGGCAGAGGGACATGGATGCCATAGTCACCACACTTCTCTAACACCCAAAATAAAAACACAAAAGACCACACAAATACTCAGGGCTCTCGCAGCTAAACTACGCAAGGGCCCGGGGACCAACTCGGTTGCAGGGATCAAATCAATCCAGCTACAACCTCACGCTTCCCGCAAACTACACATGAACTCCAATTATTGCCACACAGTGGGGCATTGTCCACTGTAAAAGGGGATTTGAGGGGAAATCAAGAGACGGGTATTGGCTGGAATCGGCCCTTTCACTAGTGCAGCGCTCTTGCTTCGGCGACGCAACACCAGATGGCTCCATTAGAGCCTCTCGACCAGCGATCATCGTCGCATTCACGCAGCCAGCCAGCCAGCCAGCAAGCAAGCGAGCTTCACTCGCGACGCCCTCAAAGCCTCCTCACTTTCACTTTTCTTGACGCGGTCGTGGGGAGTCCGTGGTCTTAGACGGCTCTTGCCACGTGTACAGGAGAACCTCGGTCTTGGGTCAGTATCCGAGTGAGACTGATGACCGATGGCTCCCCCCTTATTTATTATTATTTGCTTCTCCTTGGTTTGGTTTCATTGGCCCTACATACATACATACATACATACATACATGTGGGCCACATTATTTATGGTCTATTTTTATTTGCATGATCGAATGAAATTTAAGATTTAAGATTTTATATTTTTTAATATTTATTTATTTATTTATTCATTTTTAACTTCAAGTTGGGTGTTGGAGATATAAAGAGAATAATAGGAAGTAAAAAGTTTTACTAGTCTTTTGTTGAATCATAATGCATGATGGACATATTTAGAGGCTTTTTGGAATATGCCATGCTATAATCCAAAAAGAAAAACAAAACAAAACTTGGGAATGTCTTTAGAAAAAAATAAAACACTCTTAAAGCATTTTCATTCTTATATTTTATCTTTTGCTTGCAAATTCCTCGTCTATGGTACTAAAAATAAACAAACATGTAAATTAAATCTTTCAAGTACAAATACAAAAAAAATAAACAGACATTAACAGATGTTTCATTTTATTGTCTTAACTATTTATTTTCATGAAATAGGATTGCCATCTTTGTGAAAAAACAAAAACAAAAACAGATTCAATACCCAAGAGTCTTTGTAACAAGCAAGTTGCAGTACTCTTTCTAAAAAGCAAAGACTGTAACACCTTGTGTAAAGTAAGTAGATTATAAAACTTGTCATATTTATGAGTTGTATTTCTTTATTATTTGAAATAAAATGCATGTATCAATCTTAAATTCTTCATATTTCTGAAGTAAACAACTTCAATTCTTATGATTATTTTTTTCTTGACTTTGCAAACCTTATGATGTCTTTTTCTTTTTTTCTTATATATATATACAGATTTCTTTTCTTTTCTTTTCTTTTCATTTAAATTTATACTCATAGAATTTTTTATCTTTGTACTAACTTTCATGCATTTCATACTCTTATTCTTCATTAACTTAGTTGAGTTTTTAGATTTTCTCACAATCCATGTCATTCATTACCACTACCATGTAGGGGTGCCTCTAATTTGCTATTTAATTTTTCAACTTTGCAAAATCGAAAATAACAAGTCATGGGTACAAATAAAATTTGATTGTATGTATACATCAAGTTATATACTTTGAAGAATTTCAATTATTTTTAATTTCAACTTAGAATATTGGCATATGTAATGTACATTAAAAAGCTTCAAATCTATACTTCATTGTATGTTTATTCTATTCTTTATACATATTCTATTTATAGAGTATAAGATGCATGTGTTGCATGAAATTGGACAATTCTCACCACATCATTCCACATATTTAGAAATGCAATACACTTGTGTCATTTTTACAGTAACTTGATTGTGGTGTAATAAAAAAATTATTAAATCTTAAAGCCATACACAATTATGTAAACAAATAACACCATATTGAGTTTGTCAAGCTTTCATAGGTGTCTTGTAAACTTGGATGTATAAAATTATTTAGTCAACAAAATTATTTAGTCAACAAATTACTTTGTTGACATATCATATGCACATTTTCTATTTTCTATTTTCTTCTATTTGTAGGTTTCAAAGACTAAGTTTGTTTTATAATATAATTCAGTGCCCCCGGATTTTTTTTTTTTTTTTAACTTTAATTTTAATATGCTCTGTAATGTCACGTAAATTGAATTCATCTAAAATTAGCTACGTTTGGACCTTTCACAAAGGAACGTTTCTATTAAGTCTTCTATACATCCCTGAGTGCTCACTTTATATTATATAATGCCATAGGGTCTCTAGTTATTAGTGTTAATTTTTTAAACTTCGATTACTTTTATAGCTTCGATTAACCTTCACTGCATACTCACGATATGCTGTTTTCTGATATATATTTTTTTGTTTTTATTTGTTTTTCTCTTAAATATTCCCTGTGCTAGATATGTTTAGATAATCGAGTAGTAATGGACTATCGCTACCGCTGCACTTTAGAGTCACTGTTTACATGTACAACTGTGATTTTATTAATAAGAATATATACAACTTACATTCCGTTCTCTTCCGGTTGGTTAACTTACCCAGTGTTATTGTTCCAAACTGGGGATAAAAAAGATAAAATAGGAGATAGTATTTCACCTGGCCACTTTTATTACTTCCTTTTCATACATCTCTTGCACAAGAGTTCTTTACACATCAACAACTGAGACCTAAGAACCAAAGCTTTCTGCAAGGTTTGTGTTCGACTGCATATTTGAAAAGTGGTAGTGGCAAGTTCCATGTTCATCTATTTTAGATTTCAACACAAACAGCAAGTTTAGGCTCTCAATGACCACCACCCCATACAACCCCATCTGTGGGCATTGGAGCCTCGTTTGTAGCTCCCCTCCAGTTTGCCCCTCTTGGGGCTTCTTGTGGGTCCTATTGAGTCTCAACATTCCTACTGAAAAGTTCTAGAGTATTAATTCCTCAGCCGTCTGAACTGGCTTGCACTAAATCACCACACCACTATCTATATCACCTTTACCAATTGCAGTTTCACGATAGAAACAGCTATGCTGCATAATACGAATCAACATCAATAACTGAATGGTTTGGCACATCAAGCCTGCCAGAATATCCACTTCCTTGCATTTGAAAAGAATGTACAACGGTGCTAATTAAGAACGTCGGCAACGACCTCCTCCACTACACTATCCTCCTGGAGAACGTTGTCGTCATCCACAATGTCTGGTTGCTCACCTTCTGGTTGAACAATGTTCGATTGCTCAACCTCTAGTTCGGGAGAAGGGTCCACGACCTTAGCTTCAGATTCTACTGACTTAAGATCTGCGGCTTCTTTCTGGGCTGCTCTAGATTCTCTATCTTCGATCTGTAGCTTCACGAAATGTTCCTTCTTTGCTTTCACCCCCTCGACGCATTTCGCAACATCACCGACTGTCGTGGGTGGAGAGAGATTTACCTTCTGAAACGAGGTAAGAGCGTCCAAAGAATGAGAGATTTTCTCTTTTTCCTTGTTCTTCACGGCTCCAGCTTTCTTTCCTTTGGATTTCCCTCCAGAACCAGCAAACCACCCATCTAGCTCCTCGTCGTTCCTATTCTTTTTGCTTAGGATCATATTTCCAACTCCTTTGGGAGCCTGAATTTCTACCTTGGAGGAGGCTGGGTTTGTGGTAACTTCTTCCGTCGAAGGAGCGAACTTCTGGAGGTAATGAAAGAGCTGGTCACACAAGATGATCTCATCTGTGTAAGGCTCTACAAAATTCTCGAGCTCTTTCTGCTTACGGTACGCTTCCCTCTCTTTCCTTTCTTCCTCCCTCTTCTCAAAGGCACGTTTCCTCTCTACAGCCTGCTGCTCTCTCCATTCCCTCTCCCGTTCCCAAAACTCACTTTCCTTAGCCCGGAAGTCTGTTCGTAGATCCTTCACCTCATCTCGCAACACTTTTATTCTTTCATATGCTACATTCCTCTCCTCAATCATTGCAGGGACGTTGATTGCCTGCGAGGCCTCCTTTTCCTTGATGTCTGCAAGAACCTTCCGCTGTTCCTGCTCCTGTGCCTTCAAGCTGTTGAGCAAGGCATCCTTCTCTTTGATTTGTTCAAGCAAAGCTGTCCTCGCGTCAGCACCCTGCGAATTCTTCTGCAGCTTCTCATCATGATCCTTCAAGATGTCGCGCGACTTTGTAAGGTCCTTCATCTGTTGCAGCACTTTCTTCTCCTCCTGAAGCGTGAGAGATGTATGGGTATGCCGATACTGAAGCTTCTTCAGCTCCTCGTCAATCTGCTCCACTCTGGAGTAAGGCAAATTCTCAAGAAGCGATCTCACTTCCGATCGCCTCCTGTCCCGCTCCTTCTCAACCACGCTCAGCTCGTTGCGAAGAGCATTTTTGGTTTCTAAGACGCTCCGGAACGTGGCACTCAGCTCGGTCAGACGTCCACGCGCTACTACAACCTCCTGACGATGTAAAGAAACGTTCGTAAATACCAACATCGAGCGAATGGGCTGAGCCCACAGAAGGCTGAGTAATAAACCAAAAGAGAAGAGTCCAGTCAGTCTCTACCGGTGAGACCATGCCTCTACTCTGCTGCCTTTTGTCCAGGATGCTCTTGATCTCCCGCACGCGGTCCTGAAGGCCATCCATCTCGGCATGCAATTTTCCGACAGTTTCTTCGAATCCAGCTTTGTCTGGTCTCTCCAACCTCTTCACCCGACGCGTAGACGCAGGCTTTGAGACTGCAACCTTGTCTTCAACCTCCACGGGCGCAATCGGGGTTTCGATAACTCCCACCATCTTGCCGAGAGAGAGAGAGAGAGAGAGAAAGAGAGAGACGTGTATATCCTACGAGGTTGCAAAATAAGCCAGCAAAGTGATAGGCAATAACACGCTCCTCTCTCAACCAAAGTACTTAAAAATATCCTCAGTGATATGAGACTGGTTCAAAACACCAGACGCCCGAATATAACAATAATCCTGCATTACCAACATCTCTTGTTCAGCTGAAAAAGCTTGACCAGTGCAACAAGGAGTGCTCTGTCCGCTCAACAGCAATCACAAACGCACAAGACTCATAAACATAACGGAACATCGGCAAGTTTGAATATTGACCAAGGACGATTGATTCATCAGGTCCACGTGCTTAATGCAATGACTAAGATAATAGAGAAAGTGAACAAGAAACAACGCAAAGGAAAAACGTCAAGTGCCGAGGACGATGCTCCTCTAAACAAACCAAAGGCAGTTTACCAAAGCATTAGCAGCACATTCGTCGCGTCCATTACAAAAACAATCAAACTCGAAATCCCATCTCCCACATTCTATGAACTTCCCGAACTCGAAGAAAACAATGCCACACACACACGCAAGAGACTAACAATTGGACATTTCACGAGTTCATAGTTCAAATCTACAAAAACTCGAGAAATGCACAACGACCAGTCACTACCGCTATGCATCCCTCTCGGTGGTGCCAACCTCAGATCCTCCCTCATCAACACCCACCCTAAAATGCCTACCTCCCTACTACTTGAAAAAAGGACCCATCACCCCACAATGCCAGAGCTTGTCAACAACCTGAAGCCGATCAACCGCGACGGTTTTAGCTGCGGCTAGATCCGCAGAGGAAGGCAGCCTAGAGTCCCACAACGACGCTCCACAGCGGCCAGAGGAAGAGCCAAAATGAGATGGGCGGAGCAGCAGGGCCACACGGCAGAGAAAGCGAGAGAGAGAGAGAGGTGTGGAAACGATTGGCGCAGCAACAACAACAACAACAACAGGGATTGATTGATTCGGAGAAACAAACAGCAAGCAAATGAAGAGGAAGAATAAGAAGCAATGCGTGCCCTAATCCCACCCTCCCTCGCTCGCTCAGTGCGCTGCAGTCGTCGTCGTCGTCTCCGGATGCCTCGCGATGCGACATTTCGATGCGTAATGGTTTCTTTTTTAGGGCATTCTGTCGCAGGAGGGGCTTCCTCTCGCAAGAAGTCCTTCTCTTGTTGACGTATCTGCGTGTTTCGGGAGTGAATGAATATGTGTGTGATAATATAAAAATAAAACATATATATATATATATATATATATATTAATACTAGTGGAAACTCGTGCCTTTGCCACCAAGAAGTTGTAAAGAAATTTGGTTAATTTGGTTGCTAAGTCAAAAATTGACCACTCTTAAAGAAATGTTCATCAAGAAAGAAAAAGGAGAAGAAGAGTATATGCATAACCATTTATGTTTCTTTAATATAATTTTAAAGATATGATTTTTTGTTTACTACAATAATTTATATAACTAAGTTAAAAAAAACTTTGGAATAAACTATACTTATAATGGTGTTTTTGTCTTTATTATATTTAAGGTATAAGATCTTGTTCATATTTGGAGAATTGGAAACTTGCGCTGTTGGGCAAGAAAAAGTATTATTATGTGTTACCATAAGTTTTATGGTCTTTTGTGCATTCCTATGAGTTTTCCAAGTTTCTATGGATTTTAATGCATTTCCTTGTGTTCCTTGAGTTTTGGTGCATTTCCTAAATTAAAAATGTTCAATATCTTTTTAAAACATTTTATTGATTATATCTACAACATTGCAAAAGTGAAAAAAAACATCAATATGTCAATCTTGGATTTTACATGTCATATATGTAGAATTAATACATGAATGAAGTTGAAAATAATAAAATAATTATTCTCATTATTTCACAAAATCGGATCACAAAAGTGGAAGATCTAAACAATTTGATGAAGAGAAAGAATTTGATAATGCCTTGCTCAAATATCCATTGATTCTGCCTCCACTCTTTGTCTTCATCTTCCTTTGAGGTGAAGTCTTTTTTAATGTTGAACATCTTTTGGATCTCTCCTTTCAATGTCATTCTCTTAATTGTGTTTGCTATAGTTTGGTATGTCAAGTCTAATAGATTCTTAATGTTCACATAGTTTGCTATATATTCCCATCATTCCACTCTTTTGTATTAGTACTACCTCTATTTGTTTATTTTCCATCTTTCCACCTCACTTCCAACTCTCCCACCATCTCTCCACTATACTTTGTACAATTTGATGCTTCCATGTGCTCACATCTTATATCCAAATCAATGTCCTATTCTTTATTAGGATCAAGTTGAACAATGTCGCTTGGACCACCTTCACAAAATCTGCATCCCATGCTTTAATTTTGTCTTTTAACACCCAAAGCTTGTCCTTGCCTTGTTTTGGGTTGTATGTATTTAAACAATTCAATACTAGATAAGTATATTTATGACCATATTTGGAGAGTGTAGTTGAGAAATAGTAGCAAAATAAAAGCTTTAATTTTTACAACAAGGATCACAATTGACTACTATTTATATTATCAAATTTCAAAAACTAGCTTGTACAATAGATTAAAATAATAAAATCTTTATTAATAAATATTAATTTGAGTTAAAAGATAATATCAAAGATTTATTATTAAAAATATGAAAAAAAAATTCATTCAAATAATTAATTTTTCAAGCCATTACATGCAAAAATTGACTTTTAAAAAAGCACAAATAATAAAGAATTAGGTGGAGAAGAACAAATTAAGCCATAATGATAATTCCTAAGTTTTAAAAAATTTATTCTTCAAGGCCAAAACCTACACAAATTGATACAAATCAATTTAAGCAATTGCTACATAAAAAAGATAAACAAAAGCCAATATGAAAACTTCTATTTATATTATAAAAAAATATATTATAAGATAGACGACTATTGTGTTAATATAATAGGAATCAAAGCAGAGAATGTAAATTTGAACATAGAAAAGTTTAAAAATAAAGATGTCTAGTTGTAGTAGGAACCTTGGAGTTAGATAACTTTGGACCATTAAATATAAGTCTCATACTACCATTAAATCTTATGTCTTGTTTTAAACCTTCTATAGTTATGATAATTTTAAATTAATTTTTTTTGTTCAAGCATTTTTAGACATTGTAGCCTTAACATGTTTTATAAATAATTACTTTGTATTATAATAAGAATTGATAATTAAAAAATATATATAATTAACTTTAATAGAGGTTATTGATAAAAAATAAAAAATAAAAACTACTTGTATTTTTACACGTCATAAAAAAAACCAAACTATTGAAAGTAATATTAGAAGATCAAATATCTAATATTGCCTTCAATGTCATTTAATGTCCTTCAAATCCACTTGTGTATGACTTTCTTTGGTTTGAATTACATAATCCTAATATTGATTAAAAACTACAAAAGTGCACTTTCAAATCTAATTCTAATAACAAAAAATTATTTCAACCTTTATTTGTGGGAGCCAAAGCATTTATGCAAGTTGCAGAAGATGGAAACATATTTTTCATTTTTACTACATTAATTCCTTATTTAAATGAAGGTTGCAATAGAATCTCAAAGTAATGTAAAGAATATGAAGAAATTTTTGAAAAGAATAATATTGATGTATTGTCAAAACACCAATCTTATAATTTTATAATTGATCTTTAAAGAAGAGTTTAACCACCATTTAGTCCAATTTATAATTTTTTGCAAAATAAACTTGGTGCTTTAAAGAATATATTGATGAAAAACTTGCAAAGAATTTATTAGACATTAAAAGTCTCTTGCAAGTGAGCCAATTTTTTTTGTGAAGAAAATAGATAGATTCTGATAAATTTATTTAGATTCTTGTAAACTTAATAAATTGAATACCAAAAATAGTTATTATTATTATTTTCTTATTAAAACTTATTGGTCAATTAAATAAAATTAAGATCTATATTAAAAATAAATTATAAAAAGCTTACAATTTGATTTGCATTAAAAAAATGAATCAATAAAGATTGTGATTTGAATTAGGTATAGCCATTTCAAATATAATGTCATGCCTTTTGGACTTACAAATGCTTTAGCTGCTTTCTAACATTAGATAAATAATTGTTTTTTTTGAATATCCACATTATTAAGTTATGTGTTTTTTAGATGATATTTTTATCTATTCTAAGAATATTTATTAACAATAATAACATGTTATTATTGTACTTCAAAACTTAGAGATGTAAGATTATGCAATAAGATAGAAAAATATAACTTTTATACATTTCAAATAAATATTTTGAAGTATCTTATTTCAAACGAAATTTATAATTAAATTCTAAAAAGATGCAAATTATTATAGATTAAAAACTCTAAGAATTTTATATAAGTTCAAATATTTTTTAAGAATATTTCTCAAGTTGCTACCTTGCCTACTTGATCAACTTTCAAAACAAATCTAGAATATAATAAAGATGCATAAGGATTAAACAATCACAAAGAAAAATAATTTGTGAAATTAAAATTAATTAAATATTATAAAATTAAATTTAGAATAAATTTAATAATAAAAAAATTTATAACATATTTTCTTTGTAAAGTAATTGATAGAAAATAAATATAAGATTGGAAGAATAAAAGTGACTCCATGCAATGATCACACTTTAAAAAAAGTATAAGAAACATTCAAAATAAAATAAATGTATAATCTAGAAGATTAATTATCTCAAGAAAACTAGAATTAAGTAGATAAGTAATATAATAAGTCTTATTGACAGCAAAAATATCATAAGAGAATTAAATAATTTAAAGATCAAGTAAATAAGTGCAATAAGATATGAACAACAATAAAACTATAAAGCAAGATATAGTGATGTAGTAAGAAGGGATTGCAACATGGCAATCTTATAATAAGCATGGCCAAAATTAAAAAGAGAAGAAACAAAATAATATCATAAAGAAAAAAAACTTATATAAAAAATTATTAATTTTGGATAGAAAATAAGAAGATTTAATAGAAAGATGTCAAAGTACAAATCAAGATAAAAAAAAATTATAGGTCGTTAAAAATAAATTTCAAAGAAAATAAGTAAGTTGCAAAAAATATTTAGCAAAAAAGATTCTACTATTATATTACAAAAGAAGAGAGTGTGGAAAAAATCTTTAAGAAATGCACAAAATAATTTAAGCCAAAAAAACTTCAATTTATAGTAGCAATACATATTTAATATATGCAATTCAAAAATAAAATTTAGAATATATAATTTATTATTTTTATTTAAAAAAATATCTAAGATAATAAAAATTCTAAGAAAATAAATGTTATAGCACAAATAATAAATCAAAGTAAATGTAAAATAAATCAAGAAGCTATACAAAATATTTTTATCAAATGCCAAAAACTTTGGCTGTAATATCAAATATTTGTTTTAAATATCATATAATGTAATTGGATTTAGATGTATATAAGATGGATAAAACTTCAAAACTTATATAAATATATATATATATATATATATATAAAACCTAATACATAATTTATAAATAAGTCTATTTAAAGATTTGATAAATGATATAATTACAAAAAATAAAATGATCATACAAGCAATCCATCTAAGATTTAAGATAAGAAACTATTATATATTTACAATGGGTATGCTTATAATTGATTCATTGCTCTAAGAAAATCCAACATTTTAAGTTTTTCTTCAATACTAGCTCCAATAATATAATAACAAAATCAAAGTATCAAAATAGATATAAGATTACAAATATATCTAAGTATAAATTATGTAATAGAAAGTGAAGGACTGGCCTACTTTGGCCAATGGTTAATTATGAATAATAAATAGGACTTCAAAGAGGGTAATAAAAATAGTAAAAAATACTTTGAAGTATAGAAAATAGATTTATTGTAAGCTCAATATATCATTCTTTTCTTTAGCAATTTATTACCACCCTAGGGATTCAAATTCTAGACCACAAAGTTAAAAGCATTGTATTTTATGAAGGTAAATTTTATCCCTCAATCCAAATTATAAGATGGCCTTAATTAA